TATCTAGGAACTGGTAACGGTTGCATTAAGTCGGCTAGTTGAAGTGTCTCCCACTTGTTCTTTTGACATATCTGACAGTTTCCCACGAATTCTTACATTGTTCTCTTCCGTCCGGGCCAATGTATTTTGAATTCCTTCATGTTCAAAACTATGGAATCCAGCTACCGCCTCTTGTACCGGAACTGAATCTGCATTTATGTAAGCTAATTTTCTGTGGGAATTTGCAATTTCTATATAAACTATTGCATCATAACCAAGTCAAAGTGAAGGTTCGAGATTGACAACATTTTTCAGTAGTAATTCACTTACAAGACATTGCTATGATTTATCTTTCAGGCAGGTTAATAGACTAACTAATGATAATGCGGATCATTTAGCGAAGCAAGCTAGATGTAACTCACAACACTAAGTGGCTCATGTAAAACATTTGATGATCATTCTGGTTAAAACGCCAAAAGAAAAAGCAAAAAATAATAATAATAACCACCATAATACAGTACAGTTTGGTTAAGAAGTTGAACCAAACTGAAACAAATTGGTTTAAGTCATCGTTGTTAACCCGGTGGATTCAGCTTGAAATTCCAGTCACCAACCAACCGTGACCGGTTCGATCCGGTTTGTGGACATATAATAAAAGGATGGTCTGGAATTATGCTTAACCAGCGACGGATACAGCAGTAAACTGGTGATAAGAAATGGTGATTCCGACGGCGGCTAGGGTTTCGGCATCGGCCTCACTGCTTCTACGCCGTAAATCTCGGCAGCTAGGGTTCGTAGCCTCCTCCGCCTGCTCGCCGCCGCCGCTCTCTTCCTCCCCTCGCCCTATCAGGTACCACCACCAGTTTTCCATTAAACCATTCGTAGGGAGATTTTTCCAGTGAACATCTCTCAGTTATTATAACTCAGTGAATCCAAATTCGCTTCTCTTTAACATACTTGCAGAGCTACTGCTACATAAAAGAATTGAATCTTATAACTGAGTTTTAAAATTTCGATCATCTAAGTTATTTCATTGACTCGTAGGAGATTATATTAATTGCACAAAGATTATTATTAACTTATAATGTAGTAGCTCTGGTAATCTTTTGTGCAAGGTTTTGCATAAGGACTCTCTTAATGGACCTGCATGGAATGTTGACTTCTTAAGATCCTCTTGGTTTCATTCGACTCCATCTGGTGATTGCGCGAGCAAATCTGACAACAGTTCGATTCAAGATGGAGTAGCTTCTACAAAATTGAAGAGGAAAAAGCTCAAGGGTAAGCGGGCGGTTGTGCGATGGCTTAAGTTTTTCCGGTGGAAGAAAAAGAAAGAGGTTGAAAGAATGACCGCTGAAGAAAAGATACTTAACAAACTAACAAAGGTTAGCTACAAATTGCAGCATCTTGTTACTTATTTAAACCAACAGTTATGCGTATTTTTACCTCTTATATTCGTGTTTCGATCTGTTATTTCCCAGGCTCGAAAGAAAGAGGAACGCCTTATGGAGACGATGAAGAAACTGGAACCTGCAGAGTCATCGGAAACGACACATGACCCTGAGATATTGACACCTGAGGAGCATTTCTATTATCTGAAAATGGGTTTGAAGTGCAAGAATTACGTTCCAGTGGGGAGACGCGGTATATACCAAGGAGTGATTCTGAACATGCACCTTCACTGGAAGAAGCATCAGACGCTGCAGGTCGTGATCAAAACATTCACGCCAGAGGAAGTAAATGAGATTGCTGTTGAGTTAGCGAGATTGACCGGAGGGATTGTGCTTCACGTCCATGAAGGGAACACGATAATTATGTACAGAGGGAAGAACTATGTCCAACCTCCAACTGAAATCATGTCGCCGAGGATTACTCTCCCTAGGAAAAAGGCTTTGGACAAATCCAAATGCCGGGATGCGCTTCGTGCGGTAAGAAAGTATATTCCAAGGCTAGAACAAGAGCTCCAGTTGCTTCAAGCGCAGGCTGAGGCCAAGCGAGAATACCCGAATGTCGTCAAGGCTGATGATACTCAACAGACTTTGGAATCTTTAGATCATCAAAGGTCAGAAGAGTTGAAGAAGATTATAGAAAGAAGCCAAGAGTGTTTGGAGGATGAGCAAGAAGAAGCAGAATCAGAATTAGCAACGGATTCGGATCTGTCTGATATTTTTGAGACTGATTCGGAATCAGAAGACGAGAAAGCAGAGCGACCGCTATTTCTTGAAGAATTTGAGAAGTTCCCAGCGATAAACAACAACATAGAAGAAGATGAAGACTTTAGGGATCAAGGGAAGGCCAAATCAGGAGGTGAGAAAGATGAGTCTCCAGACTTTGATGAAGTGGATAAGATGTTTCTTCGAGCTGCTTTGCTTTTAAAGAAGAAAAGACGATGAAGAATCACCAGAGCTTCTAGTTTCATAATCTTTTGTGCATCTCCCAGTTGGCTCAAGTGTGTCAAAGTCGTAAGTTTGTTTTCGTTCTCCACTTTCGCAAGCTTGATTCTGTGTGAGCAATTTGATTATGTGGTTTATGGAAAGTATGATTGCTTCGTTCAAAAAGTTTTATGTGTGACAGTAAAGCTACAAAGTTATTTTTTTTTATTACTAATTCGAAAGCAGGCAAAAAAAAAGGATATATGCGTTAAGTTACTATCTCTAATCTAAAAGAATCTATTATTTTTGGTTAGGGATTAACTAGCTACTGAGAATTGATTAGTTAATTAAATTGAAAATTGAACTGAGAACTTAAATGGAGTTTACTTCAGAAGAAGTTACTCCTACAAAAATAGGTGTATGCCGATTAGAGTGGAGAGTGAAGAACAGTTTTGTCTTAACTGGGCCAAAGTCCTGGGCCGTGAACTCCATAACCATTCGCTTCCTGATTATGTGCTTCATTCAAATTACCGTTTTTCTCTGGTTGGTTTTATGGAAATGGCAAGTTTAATTTACTACCAACTTCATTTAAAGTAGTAAGGACAGTGAAGAACATGTTTAGGGATTGAAGTCACCGGCGAACAGGTCTCCGTTGATTGGTTGGGTCACTTGAAATGTCGCTTGCGGAAAAAGGAACTTTGAGAAACTCCGTTCCTAATCGGAAATCAATGTTTTCTTTCGTATGTGACTGCATTCGCTTATTGGACAAGGATTTAAGATCGGGATCAGAACGAGACCTGATGCGTTCTACAAATATTGTGTTTCCTTGTTGGGTACGGTTTCGTGTTAGGTTTATTTTGGGTTTTGGTTAATGTGTTTTGAGTTTTAACTTCTGTTTGATTTATGTTTTAGAATCCTATTACTATTAGGTTTTGATGAAACAGTCCATTCTTGCTTTGATATTTTCACTAGTTATCTCTGACAATGAACGATCAAATAAAGACCTCTACTTTGACAGAAATCTCAGAGTTCTCTTCCTAAATCTTAGGTTTTCGCCCAAAGCTTCAGCTGAGGATTTTGTGTTCTTGAATCATGATGAAACTCATCTTCTGGAAGCGAAAAACTCCTGCAGGTTCTTGTTTCAGCTCATAAAAAGTCTATAAATTCCTCTCAAATATTTACTATGCAAGTTGTGGAAAATCTTGGATATGTAGTTTAAGTTTACCTTATATGTGTACTTCTTTGTAAGGTTTATCATAAGGTTTTTAATTTGTTGGTTCCAGAACTTCTGCGGCAAAACAAGAGGATGCTTGACAGATCTATCAGAGAGATAGAGAGAGAAAGGCAAAGCCTTCAAACACAAGAAAAGATACTTATTGCGCAGATTAAAAAGATCGCAAAACAGGGCAAGATGGTTTGTTTCACTCTCTTATAAATTGACTTTGTGTCAAATTCTCAAGAAAACTTGTGTCTGACTATAATCCTTTGGGTACTTTGTGACAGGGAATTGTGAAAGTGATGGCAAAGGATCTTATAAGAATGCGACACCAGATGGAAAACTTTTACAAGCTTAAATCCCAACTCCAAGGTGTGTCTCTAAGGATCCAGGTATGGCTTTATTTATATATCTTTGGTTTATGACTTGGTTATTGTGAAATCATAGTAAAAGTTTTGTATCGAATCTAAAATATCGGTTTTTCAGACTTTCAAATCAACACAAGCAATGGGTGAGGCAATGAAAAGTGTGACTAAAGCGATGGGGCAAATGACAAAGGAGATGAACCTCCCATCGCTGAAGAAAATCATGAAAGAATTTCAGAAGCAAAACGAGAAAATGGAGATGGTCTCTGATGTAATGGGAGGTGCTATTGATGATGCTTTGGAAGGAGACGGGGAAGAGCAAGAGACAGATGATCTTGTTAGCCAAGTCCTTGACGAAATCGGAATCCACATCAATCAAGAGGTAAGTACATTACCCTTACCTAACTCTTCTCACTAATTCCACATAGGGATTATTTCAACCTGATCCAAAAACTGAATATAAGTGCAAGTTAAAATAGTTTACTTAACCAAAAAGAACCCATGTTGAAAACTTGAATATTTACACCATGATTTTGACCCGGTGTTTCCAGCTGGTGAATGCTCCATTTGGCGCGGTTGGAGTAGCAGCAGCAAAGAACAAGGTGGTGCAAGATGAAGCGGCAGGAGCTGAGGACGGTGGGGAAATAGATAGTAACCTTCAGGGAAGGTTGAACGACCTTCGAAAAAAGTGAAGCTTTCCGGTTTTTTTCTCTTTTCTTTTTGTAATCATACTTACTGATGGCTGATTTTCATCTACTAAATGTGGCTGACGATATGTTTACGTTTTTCGGAATTTAGAGAGCTCAAAAATCTCTTGCTAATAATCAGTTATGATCAAAATTTCTCCAAATTCTTAAGAAATCTTTTCTTTCTCAGTCGTGAAGGACGGGTTTTGGTATTTTGTGGCCTGTTTCATTTCTTTATAACTGGCAGGATAGTGTAAACACTCAAATTATGCTTCTCAGATGATTAATGAGCTAAACATTCAAGGGAAATGCTCTGTAAAGTAAACATGTTTTATGAATGACTTGCAACAGAATTAGGAGAGCTTGATACTCAAAACAAGACTATTCTTTATGAAAGAAAACATAATTTGATCATAAAACTTAGTAAATGTGTGAAAATAAAAGTAAGAAATATTCGCCTGTTTTTCTTTTGCTTCCGGATACCTTGCTAGATTTGTGTCAAACTTGGAACATAACTAAACCAAATGGGCAGAGATGGTACTTCAAAGTCCGTGTGTCTGATTTTATTGTCCTCTCCAACAATGTATACCCTGGTTTTGCCTCTGCACAACCAGCTATCACAGCACAAGAGGACATTCTTCTCCTCACAGCACAGGAAGAAACTTACAGAATGCCAAAAAACATGTTCATACACTGCTAAGACCATGCTCCACGACTCCACTTTGGTCTCACCAATCTTATTTATCACCCATATCTCGGTCTTGTATGTAGTTTCGTGATGTATTAGCACGGAAAGTTTCTCTTCTCTAACAACGGATAGAGACACATTTCGATTACTAGGATACTGATATGGAAGACATAGATGTTCTAATCTTTCTGTTGTATAATCAAAACTGATTAAGAATATATCCCCTTTTAACTTTCTAGAAATCCAGTAAGTCTTTCCTTTCAAAGACATGCAGCAACTAATAGAGACGCCGCGGTCGAAAGTGATATCAAGAAGCCTCCATGAATTAGAGTTAATATCATAGATTTCGAATTCTTTGTTTCAATATTTTGTAGCTATTAGAGTGGGATTTGTTCCCTTGGTAGGATCCAAGAGTATAAGTGTCACTTCTTTTGGAAGTATATAAGGGTTGGATCCACTTGGTTCCATACCACAAGCCTAGTATTGTCATCTTTGCTAACGCATAACAATAACAATAACCCCTCGCAGTGAAAGACTTCCGATATCTCGACTTGAGGGTCAATTTGGCTAAGTTCACTTGTGACCTTCACATGTGGAATTCTATGGAGATTGATTTTCATAGAACAAACATTAAACTTGATCGACATGAGAGTCATAAACTCCTTTGTGGCTTTATCCAAATGCTTTCTTGTGAATCTCCTAACGTTGAACAAATGGTTCCATCGTTTGCAAGTAGATCGTAACCGTTTGAACGATGTAGCCGGAACACGACATAGTATTTCCTCTACCAAGTCCTCCGGAAGTTCCGACATTCTTGTGATTCGTGAATCGTGATCGATCTCCCAAGGAAGAAAGAGCGTGGGTAGGGTTTGATTGGTGATCAAGTAAAAGGAAAAAAGGAAAGCCTCTCTCTTAGAAAGAGGGTTCGGTTTGCGCAACCCTAGAAGAAAGTATCCAAACTTGTGTGGCTTTTTGTCAAATGTCAGAAATCTGAAATACTCTCTGCACTTGGGAAGATCAATAATGGGTTTTCATCTTCTTAGGTTTCCATTAACCTTGCGATGTTACAGTACCTCTCTCGTTGGCTTCTTCTCCAAATCTCACAATCCTCGTCTCTCTGGTATATTTCTCTTTCTTTGCAAATGTAATTCAGGTTTGAGTCATTTTCACAAACACTTAGAGGGCATTGTTAGCTTTCGATTCACTTTCTGCGAATCTGGGTTTTGGAAACTCGTGAGGGGACACAAATCGAATTATTTGACCGGGAAACCCAGTAATTATATGCCAATTGCTAGAGGAAAGAGACAATTTTTCACTTTAGCCTTCGAATTTTCAATGAAAGCTTGGGTTTTTTTGTCTTCCTTAGCTTCTGTAGTGATAGTGTTTTGTTATCTTTGCACTGTGTTATTTGTTCAGCGAGATGGGTTAGTGCCGGAGATTGCAGTTCAATGAGATGTTTTGCGTCTTCTACACCTACACGTGGAAAGAAGTATGGTCTTTTCTTTAATACTGAAATCAACAAGACTCCATCTTTCTCTGCTTCATTCTCTTCTTGTTCTGTAACAGCAAAAAACAGAGACTTGACGAGGCCTGTGTTGAAAGGTATCAGGAATACAGTCGCACACTAATACAATCTTGGATTCTACAAGGTATATAACTAACTTACCGGTTTATTCTTTGTATTCGTATACATAAAGCAGAAGCTTAATCTCTCGTGTGTATGTTATTCAGGTAAAGTGCTTGTGGATGGTAAAAGAGTTAGTAAAGCTGGAATGCCTGTATCCAATGGTTCATCCATAAAGATTACAGCTGAGGTTCCAAAATATGTATGTAGGTGATTATTTCTCCCGAGTTACCCTATGTTTCTACAGTTTCTTCGTGCTTTGAGACACCTTTATTTGTCGACTGTCCTCTACTGTTTTTTCACTTGCAGAGGTGGACTCAAGCTGGAAGCTGCAATTGAGAAACTTGATGTTGATGTTTCTGAGAAAGTAGTTCTGGATTCCGGACTTTCTACAGGAGGGTTTACGGATTGTTTGCTTCGTTATGGTGCAGCTCATGTTTATGGCGTAGATGTTGGTTATGGTCAGGTGCTATGTATTGTTCCTACAGATTGTTTGATTTTTGTCCTGCAATCAGAGTTTTATTAGCAACTTCTTCTAGTTACTAATTAGTCAGTTATTTATCCGGTGTATGGTAACAGGTAGCTGATAAAATCCGTAACGATAAGAGAGTGACTGTTATAGAGAGGACAAATCTGAGATACCTCCCTTCACTCCCTCAAAAAGTCGATGTAGTGACACTAGACCTCTCATTCATTTCCATTCTCAAGGTAAGTTTGCTTCTGTTCATTTTGTTCACAGGAACCTTTTATAAGCCGCAAAGTTTTGAAACTTAAAAAAACTTATGAACAGGTGATGCCAGCTGTAATGAATGTGATGAAAGCAGATGCAACTTTAGTTACGCTGGTTAAACCCCAGTTTGAAGCTCGAAGATCACAGGTAATCAATCTATTATTTCTAAGATGCTAGATTTCTGATACACTAAACTCCAAGAAGAGCATACCCATATGTATAACATATATGAATCATCTCTGTTATTCTTACTTTTTGTTCTTCAACATTTTGTTTCCCGTTAAGGTTGGGAAGGGTGGCATAGTGCGAGATCCCGAAGTACATCAGGAGGTATGTTTGTATTCCTGTCCTCTTTGTGACAACTGAATCTTCTCGGGTTAATTGACAAACATTGATGTTCTTTGGTTATTGTCTGATGGATTCCTTCTGTTTCTAATTTGGGATAGCGAGAAAGCCTTGATCTTATATACAATGTCTTGTTTATGGGTGAAGGTTCTTGAGAAGATAATAAATGGTGTTGAGCGGTATGGATTTACCAACAAAGGATTTATCGAATCTCCCATAAAGGGCGCCGAGGGAAACGTAGAGTTCTTGGTTTGCTTCAACCGAGGGACAGTAAAACGCGAAGATGAAGCGTAGACTTGTATCCCATTGCTGGGAAGTTAGAACCTAGCATGAAATGCTTTTGTTTCTTCGTTCACTCATTCCATGATTTAAAGTAACACATTTTTTTGACAAAAAAAAAAAAAAGTAACACATTTTATAACTGTTCTTTTGTTTTGGTGATATCATAAGTCTCCAAGTTAAATAGCACAGGAAATTCAGGTTAATCATTTCAAAGAATCTCGGAAAAGCATTTTAGGTAGAGAGCACAAAGGACTTCATAACAATAGCTTGTCTCATTTTATCGTAATGGAGAAATCAGTCTGTAGATAAGTAGCTGGACCTTGAAAAGGTTAGCTTTTACAAAGCAACGACTGGTCTTGAGATCTAAACAAGTCTTTCAATGTATAACAAGTCCTCCACCTAGAAAGCTCGATGTCCCGTACTACATTGTCTTGCCACTGAAAAAATTGAGGCAAAAGCTTAACTGGGAGAGAAAGAAAAACAAGAAAACTTTTGCTATAGCATAAAGTAACAATGTCTGCATACCATTAGGCTATGGTCTTGAATCAGTTTTCAGTTCCAACAATGGATGCCTCATTGTTGTTGGAAGATTTAACATTTTTTGTAGAATACATATGCACAGGTGGAGGCAAAAGCTCTTCTTGAATGGCCTGAGACATTGTTTAATAATGATGCAGCAAGATAAAGACCAAAATCATCAGAACCAATGCAATGTAGTCTACCTAGCAAAATCAACCATCATAATCATACTGATTCC